ATTGATAACAGTGCATCTAAATTCCAAAATCAATCTCCATAATAGTCTATGCATTTTATTGCCAAAGGGGATATTTAGAGTAGTGAGAGATCTTCACCCTGAAACCCACAGCATCCCTTTTCAGTAGGAAGTAGCTAAGAGAATACGCCATCCCCTTTTCCTTATGAATCAGGGTGAAGTCTCTCTCAGGGAGGAGGGATAGGGAATGGTAAAGGACACACTGACAAAGGAGGTTAATCAGAACTGGCTTTGACAAGCACTGTGGCAATAGGACAATTAAAACAGACTTTGAGGGGGGGGAAAAAAGAGGAACGAACTATGGGGGGTAGAGAAAATAGTACAACAATGAATGAATGGAAACCCAAAATCTCTGTAAATGTTCATTAAAATTTAAAAAAAAAAATTTAGAGATTAGGTGACAAAAATAAAAAATCCCAGGAACTACAGGAAAAAAAAAAAAATAAAAGGAAAAACAAATATAGTACTCAGTGATTTTATCAAAGCTCTAGATGAATGGTTGTTGTTGTTATGGGCCATTGTTATGTGAAGTAAGTGGGGACATTCATTAAATAAGCTTTCAATATCCTCCTCCTTTCAAGTGCACTTTTTAAAAGGCGGCACTTCTACATCATTAATCCTTCACCATTTTAGATGGTCAAGATAAATGCCTGCTTGTGAACAGGACAGTGGCACCAGGAGCTGTGGTGTATGAGGAGTGGAGGAGTTCTGCTGACAGCTTTTTCTCTAGTGGCATGCTGTAGAATTATTTACTCTGTTTACTTAGAAAGGCTAGACTCTGTCTTTGACATAATTCCAGAAGTGTGGCTCACAGATGGGAGGGCTAGGCTGCTGGTGCCTCTAGATGGCTGTGCTCTAAGTTGTTTTTACTTACAAAACACACTGCATTTTCACACTTTCACCACCTTCACACAAATGGTGGTGGCTACAAATGGGAAATCCTTTTAAAAGGGCCAAGTCCACATGATGTGTGTACTAAACTAGTGTATGCTGTTTAAATACACTTAAAAAATTAACAGAAATAGAGGCGACAAGAAAAGCCTGAAGATAAAGAATAAATTCTAACTGAAAGAGAGCTGTGTCTTTCCAATGTGAAGGTCATAAAAATCACTAACAGCAGTCATCAAGACTAAGACAGTGAGCACTTATTTGGTGTTAAGCATGGTATTGATATTATTGAGTGCTTCACTTTTTTCCCTTTTTCTAAAATTGTAATTTTAGTGAAAAGTTCCATTTTTCATTCAGCCACTCATACACATTTTGTCCTAATGTTAATTTGTCCACCCGACCTTTCCCAGGTCCTCCCTGTCACTGATTCCTGGTAATCCTCTGGCACCTTCTCTTCTTCAGGGATACTGTGCTGACCATCTCTCACTATCTGCTGACCATCTCTCACTATCTACTGTCTTTTCTTCCATCTACCTTAACATGTGCCCATGATCTGTATACTAATATTTGCACACCTGGCTCCATCTTTTCCCATACGCTGTTTCAGTATGTTCCATTCTCCATGGTCAGTATTAAAGCCCATCACTGCAGTGACCCTGAGGGGCAGTGTAGAACTTCCCCAGAGTCCCAGGTGGTGATCCTCCTGGGAGCAGATGGCCACATCTCCCTCCCATAGAGCACCTGGTCTCCATTAATAGACAAGCACTTCAGCACTAACGCACCTGTGCAATGGAGGTCAGGGACAGCATCAGCACCTCACCTTACCGCAAGGAAAAGACAAGTCTAGGCCCACATGATCTTGGGTAAGTCCACACATCTATGCTAGTGGGAGAAGCAGGACTGGGCTCTACGTACTCTACCTCCAGTGTCTGTTCTCCCAACTGATGTGCAACACTGCTTGCTGTGTCGTGCTGGGAGTGTTCTTTAGCCCTAGGCCTCATTTTCTTTATCGGTAAAATGAGGGTACTATTAAATTAAATTAGTAATGCCTGGCATATACAAAATCCTTAAATTCTAATATCTTCCTCAATAGTAATCTTCTAAATTTAAAAATGGGTCAGTTTTCCTTTTACTAATGTTACTGTGTCCCTGCACTGTGATGTACTGATGCTCGTTATGCCTGAATTTGGGTTCTACTTGGCAACTTTCAAGTCCCGGTTCTCTGAGCATCATTTGCAAGATGGCTTCCCTACACTACTGTCCTCACTCAGCAACACAATCAGGATGAGAATCTGTCCGTACTTGAAGTGGGAGCACCGGCATTTCCAGCTGAACTGCTGTGTGTTCCCTCCACCAGGAGCTGGGCGCTGACGGCAGGCAGGTCCTCCTCCATGGCCTGGTTAGGGTCTGTAAGTCTGCAGGCCTCCAGGTCCTGTGCTGCTTCAGTGGTAAGCTCACCAGCTGCACCAGGTTGCGTCAGACCACGTCCGGGTGCTGGAAGGATGTCTGGGGAGGACACTTGTTCTGGGCTTTCTGGAATTGCACTGGATATGGGAACAGGTAGAAAAGATTTGGGAAACAAAATAAAACAAAATACCAGGTCATTAGAAAGTTTCTTATACCTTCTGGAATTGAAAATTTGCCTCACAAAATGATTTAATTAAAGCATTAGTTAGCTTAAAATGTATGCAAATTCAATTAATAAAAAGAAAACGAAAGTCAGAGGCATAGTAGTACAAAAACTGGGAAAGTGAAGTGGTCTATCATTTATTAGATATGTATTAGTAGGAAATGTTGTGAGGAACAGATATACTTCCCCCAAGTTGTCATATAAACATAATTACTGAAATCAAGACTGAATATTTGTTGTTATTCCACAAAAGACCTGTTTTAAAAGAGATAAATGAGAAATGCCAACCACAATCTTGCAATCTTGTTGTAAGGTGTTATAGAGTTAAGTACAACTCATAGCAAGGCTATGAATAAAAGATCTGAATCTAGTCCTTTCTGTGCCATCCTCATACTTCCTGACACACAAGAGCCCATTGCAGCAGACACCTTGTCAATCTACCTGACTGTGGGTCTTCCTCTCTTTTGCTGACTTTTACACTTCCCAGTATTGTGTCCCTCTCCAAGGAATAGCAAGCACCTCTTAGCTATATGTCCAAAATATGTGAGGCAAAGCCTTATCACTCTTGCCTCCAAAGAACACTCCAGCTGCACTCTAAGACATATCTGTTCATTCTCTTGGCCATACGTGGGATGTTCAGTGCTCTTCTCCAACACCACAGTTCAAAGCCGTCAATTCTTTTTCTGTGATCCTTATTTATTGCCCAGGTCTTGGATGCATAACTAGTAATTGGAAAGACTATGGCCTGAATCAGATGCATCTTAGTCCTCAAACTGACATCACTACTCCTCCTCAATAATTTGGACAGGTCCCTAACTGCACATTTTCCCAGTGCAATGCTTCTCTTTATTTTCTGACTGCTCATACCAAGGGTATTAATTGTGGATCCAAGTAAGATGAAACTGTTGACAGTTTTAATCTCCTCTCCACCCATCATGGACAACACACACACACACACACACACACACACACACACGACAGCACAAGAAGGGAAGATCCTGGGTGAGACAGATTGACATAATGACTGGGGTAATGGAGGTACATGTGTGGGAGACGAGACTGACTCAAGATAGGGCAGGGTTCAGAGCTGTTGTGCATAGGGTTGCTATGAGTCACAAGTGACTTGGCATATAACCATAACAATATATATACACACACACACACACACACACACACACACACACACACACATACACTTTAAATACATATGAATTAATACATGTAATTTTCTGTTTCTGTTTTTTTCATATCATAAATGGTTTTCCTACCCTAGTTTTTACAAAGAAACTTTGGAAGTTTTAGATTTACAGAAGTGTTACAAAGATAATAGAGACTTCCCATATACCTGTCACTCAGTGTCCCTAATGTCATCTCCTTCCATTACCATTGTATACATCTTACAGAATAACCAACTAACATTGCTCCATATGACTAACCATGCTTCATAGACCTGCCCAGATTTCAGCAGCCCCTTTCTTTCCTAGGATTCATCTGGGATATCTTGTTATAGTCAGTTGCTATCTCCTTATTCTTTTCTCATTTGTGAAGTTTCTGAAGACCTTAGCAGACTTGAAGAATATTGAGCAGGTATTTTGTAGGGGGTCCCATCACTGAGTGTCTCTAATATTTTTCCTCTTGATCTATCTGGGGTGACAGATTCTGGGGAAGGATCTGAAAGGCACAGTGTCCTTATCTTAGCAAGAGCAGATGATGATCCACAAGACTTATCTTTGGCCAGCTGATTGTCTGGTAAAAGCGGTATCTGCTAGCTGTCTCCACGCCATTAAAATATCATAGATTTTACTGACCATACATCGAGTGGGCAGATGCAAGCATAATTCCATGTTTCCTAGATATTAAGAATATTTCCAATGCTTCACATTTGTTGTTGGTAGGTGCCATCAAGTACAACTCAGAGACCCTATGAACAGTGGATCTGAACCCCGTCTTATCATATGCCACCCTCACACTTTCTGACACATTTGAGTCCATTACAGCAGTCATCATGTCACTCACTCCACCTGATTGAAGGTCTTCCTCTCCTTCACCAACCCTCCACACTTCCAAGCATTATGTCCCTCCTCAACATGCTCAAAGGGCATGAGGCAAAGCCTCATCATCCAGATGTATTTGTCTTTTCAGCCATCCATGGGATGATCAGTGCTATTCTCCAACACAGGGCTCAAAGGCATCCTTCTGTCATCCTTACTCACTGTCCAGCTCTCAGATGCAAAGCAAGTGACTGAAAAGACCATAGCCTGAATCAGATGCACCTTAGGCCTCAAAATGACATCATTATTACACCTCAATAATTTGGAGCAGTCCTTAACTGCAGACTTCCAATTAGGAATTGAGTATCTAAACTCAACATACTTTGCTACAAACAACCCGAGTGTTAACTTTTCCCTTTCTGTGTGACAGCCTGGGATTTATTTAAATTTCTAGTTTCCTCCTCTGGAAACTAGAAAAGGTATCTTTTCAGTGCTTCTGGTAAACTGCATCTGGACTGGAAGAACTAGGACACTCACTGGGCAGCCATAGCTTTAAGCTTCCTTGTGTGATGACTCTCATAATGGGGCTGTTTCTCTTGTGGAAAACGTAGAAGCTCAGTCTCTGCAGTGGTTCCAAAGTGCTGCTACCATTTATGGAAATGGGGCTTCTGAATGAGGGAGCCCAGCTGGACCTATGTGGATCTCAGTGCCTGCCACATGAATGCACATGTGGAGTCAAAGGAGCCCAGTTCCTTGTGTGTATCTTGCTGGCAACAGATATTTGTCCTAGGTTCTTCTTCTTCTTCTTCTTTTTTTTTTTGTCCTAGGTTTTTCTAATTTAATCTTATGCTAAGATTGACTTTTTTTTTTAATGAAACGCATTGTTTATTTTCCGTCAACCTTATTTCCACTTTTTAAGAGACAGTTTAAGACCATTCCGTGGTGGTACCCACCCACTCAGTGGCCTGAGCAGTGGGGGCTGCAGACCAGTCTTCAGTTGCAGGCTGAGCACTCCAGTCTTCAGTAGGGAACTGCTGAATCAGCACAGAGGGCACCTGGACACCTTCGGACCAGTCTGTCACTTCAGGCTGAGTAGCAGTGAATTCAGGAGCAGGGGCGGTCCATTCTCCCTGAAACTCCTCCTTGGTCACAGCCTTTTCAGCAGCAGCCTGTTCTTCCTTTTCAATCTCTTCCGGATCTCTGTAGAAGTACAGATCGGGCATGACCTCCCACCGGTGCTCCCGGGAGATCGTGCCACGCATGCGCAGGACTTCCTGGGCCAGCATCCACATCAGACCCACAGAGTGAGCTCCCTTGTTGTTCCACGGGATAGCAATGTCTACATAACGCAGAGGAGAATCTGTGTTACACAGGGCAATGGTGGGCAAGTTAACATAAGATGCTTCTGTCAGAGGTTGGTGGTCAGCCCTGGGATCAGTAACCACCAGAAGACGAGGCTCCCGGAAGGCTGCCTGGATCTGGTTAGTGAAGGTTCCAGGAGTGAAGCGCCCGGCAATAGGAGTGGCCCCAGTAGCAGCAGCAAACTTCAAAACAGCTCTCTGGCCTGTATTTCTGGAGGAAATGACACTGACATCAGCTGGATTTTCAATGGCAACAATGGCACGAGCAGCCAAGAGCAGCTTCTCCCAGGTCCTCTTCAGGTTTATGATGTAGATGCCATCACTTTTCCTTTTGTAGATGTACTGTCCCATTTGGAAGTCAAGGTTGGTGCCACCCAAATGCGTTCCTGCTGCAAGGAATTTGAGGACATCCTCCTCCATGTGCAGGACATCAAGGGCTCTGGACATTGTGGAAGTTTCCCTTTTAAGTTACGACCGGAACCAGAACAACGCCGTATGGACCCTTGTGAGGGTAGTGCGGAAAAAGCAAGATTGACTTTTTGAAGTCTGCAAGTTTATGGATCTAGCTCAAATTATAGAAACTTCTGAGAGAACTTCAGACTGTGGCTACAGTGTACAATTTTTAAATTAAAGGTAAAATGTGTTAAATTTGCATTAATTTTATTGCATTAACAATTTTTAAAACATCTTTATCCATTATTTTTTCTACTGTAAATTTAGCTCATGGCATTTACCCATGAATTTAATTACTGGCATCTTGGTTTAGATAACACTTCCAAAAAGAATTTTTTTATAGTAAGTGGCTGTACAGGCCAGTGATGCGAGCAAACATTCTAAAGCCAAGGAATTATGGGCTCTAATTCCAGTTCTGCTGCTTAGAAGTTCTATGACCTTAGATCAACTATTTAGCATCTTCTGAGATCTGATTCCTTCATCTACAATGGGGGAAGCACAGTTCCTGCCACTGAAGCTACAATAGGGCTTCATTAAAGGATACAGTACATGAAAAGCAGAGCGCTTGGAACAGAAGTCATCAAAATATCAGCACTCCCTTTTCTAAGGGAGGACTGGGGGCCTAGACCATAGTTTCCCTACTAACTCAAAAAAGTTCACATCTCTGGCAGTTCAAAGCCCTCTGAGGGAGAAAGCTGGGCAGTCGCTTCCTGTGATTTAGTCTCTGAAAACCATTGGAGAGTAAGCTATGAGTCAGTTCTAATTCAATGTCAATGAATTTGAGTTTTTGTTTTAACTTATTTAATATATTTAGTAGTCTATTCAAATACAGTGGAGTTTTACTTCTGTAAAAATTTATGTCAAAGTTGCATCTTGTCACAACACTTAAATCGGGATGCTAAAACATTTCTATATGCCACTTTCCCTTAAAAGAAACTGATTAATTTCCTCAGTTAAAATAGAAATAAAACAAGTGTTTGCTCAGTCCTGAAAAAGAAGGTGGGAAGAGTATGTGCAGTTCTACTCCCAAAGGAGTAGTAGAAGTTGGTCTCTACAATGTTCTCCAGAACTTATTGGCTGTGCTCTGGTTTGCCATGTGTCTAGGGTCATTTTTTAATCCATGTTAAGTACTTTCTGGTTTGAAATGAAAAAGAAAAATAACCTCTAAAGACTAAAATCAGATATTTTACAAACACTTTACAAACAATGCTAGAACAGAAATGGAAACGGCAGAACTAAGTGAACCCACATTATACCTGAACTTTCTGGGTTTTGAGGACTCCACTCTATTTTCTTTGCAGAAATTTGAAGTCATAAAGGTACACAGTCCTGCCACCATATTTTCTGAAATACAGAGAAAAGTACAGATGAACACACACAATAATATATGCTTACAAAACTCTTCCCTAAGCAGACTTTCATTATGATTTCTAAATTGTGTTCCTATGGCAAAACAGAGCTCTAGTGTCTCAGTTTTAAGTAATTGTGCTACCAATCCAAAGGAAGTTTGAATCCATCAGCTGCTCTGTGCAAGAAAGATGGGCAATCTTTCCCATGCAATTTACTTGATGGCACATTACAACTGCATAGTATAATGTTATTGTTGTTCTCAGCTGCTTTCAATTAAGTTTCAACTCATCACAACCTAACACTGCATAACACAGAACAGAACACTGCATAGCCATGTGTTATTATAACTGCTACTATGTTTGAACTAATTTCTACAGCTGACTCTGTCAGTGCATCTTGTTGATGGAAAAGTATATCTTTTCATGGAATCTCTACCAGACATGACGTCTTCCTCCAGGAACTGGTCCTTCCTGATAACATGGATGTGCATGGGTTGAAGTCTTGCCATCCTGGCTTCTATGGAACATTTGGGCTGTGCTTCTTCTAAGACAATTGTGTTCCTTCATGTAACATCCACTTATATTCAATGTTCTTCAGTAACAGCAAAATCTAAGTATATCAATTCTTCTTTGATCTTTTTTATACATTGTCAAATATTGACACGCATATGAGAATTGAAAATATAATGGTGTGAGTCAGGTTCCAAACATTGCTTTCTTTTCTTGACACTTTTAAGAGTGTCTGGCACATTTGGCAAACAAAGTATGCAATGTGACTTCTTGACTGCCGTTTCCATAAGCAATGGTTATAGATCTAAGCAAAATGAAATCCTTGACAACTCCAAACTTTTTTTCATGTAGCATAATGTTCTTTATTGGTCCACTTGTGAGGACTGTTGTTTTATAATAAAGTGTAATCAATACTGAGGGCTATAGTCTTTGATTTCTTAAGTACTTCAAGTCTTTTTTTAAACTTTCAGCAAGCTAAGTCCTGTCATATGCATATCACTGATTATTGATGTGTTTTCCTCCACTCCTGATGCCATATTCTTTTTCCATACTTCAATTTCTCAGATTATTTGCTAACATAAAGCTTGAATAGGTATGGTGGAAAGACACAAGCCTTTTGCAGGCTTTTCCTGATTTTAGACCATGTGTCCCCTTGTTCTGTTTCAATGATTTCCTCTTGGTCCATGTACAGGTTTCACATGAGTATGACTAAGTGTATAAACATATTCCTGGAATGTGGGGCTTTTGGTAAAGATTTATTTGATATGGATATTCCTTGTACTATTTATTACATAGCCTGACTTCACCTTAGATTTCTGTCAGTTCTTTGTTGATGTATTGCTGCAAATGATTATGAGTTATCATCATCAAAATTTTGCTGTGTATGATATAAATGCTTGTTTGACAATTTGATAATTTCTACATTGTGTTTGATCACCTTCTTGGGAATGGGCACAGAAAGTGATCTTTTCTGGTAACCTGGCTAGGTAGTTTCCTTCCCAATGTACTGAAATAGGCAAGAAAGCTTTAAAGAAGTTTAAATTAACAGAGAAATTACCGCGATTGTGCAGAGAGTTCTTCCTCCAATGATAAGGACAGCAGGAGGTAGGTATTACAATGTTGTATTTTGAGTTCTGATCTGACAGTGTTGGTACTGTGGTACCAGAGCTTTGAAAACTGCTTTCCTATCCACAGTCTTAGCCTCACCCCCTGGACATGGTCTTTCACTGTGGGATGTTTGTCTTCCCCTGCCATCTCCTAACCCATTTCCCTGACAACATCTTCAACTTTTGCACCATCAAATACCAAAAGTGATGATTAGTGGAAGTTAGGAGCATGGGGGATTATGTGTTACCACAGCATCAGTCGTATATATTAGATGTTACTGACAGGGACAGTTCTCCTTTGTGGAAATAGTGGAGGTGTGACTCAGCCCCCCCACATTACATTTGCTGCACTTGCTTCTTTTACAGTTGGTGTCAGAAATGGTGGGTTTCATGGCTCCAGATACATAGAAACATGGTTTTATAAACTCTGTAAACATGGGCTTAGGAAGAGATACAGCTAAAATGATTATTGTTTGTTGCTAAAAAGTGAAGTACAGTTTGATTGGTGGGGGATTGAGGAAAATTGGAAGAATCTGTTCTCAAAATCAATGTATTTGAATTGTGTAAATAAACTAGTATTAAAAAAAGTGAGAGATAAAACCCAAAAGTTACTTTTCCTGCTATTAAGATGAAAAGTTGAAAAGCTACTTTATGGTGTGAGATAAAAAAGTAGAGAATAAAGATGAAATGTAAGTGAGAATTTCTTTAAAAGTCTGTGTATTGATGCTATTTTGTTCTTTGCTCTGTCATAATGTTGGGATATACTGTAAAAATGAATATAAAGTACATTAACATTAAGATATAACAACAATTAATGTTTTTATTTATTTAACTATATTGGATGCTGTTTTATTCAGATCTATTATAAATTTTGGAAAGCATGTACTTGATGAATTTTTATGTATTTTTCAACAGAACAAAGTTAATGAATATTAGATGTTATAATGATAGGAAATATTGTAGATAATAGAGATACTGTGAGCCTGCCTTCAGAGAATGCTTAATTGGATATGCAAAATGAGAAAATTTGCAAAGAATAAATTCAAACCTCGAGTTGCAATATTTAAGGATGCTATGGGCATTGAATGATATAAGAAGCATTAAAAGAAGATGGAAGGAGTATACAAAGTAACTGTACCAAAGAGAACCTGGCTGACACAGAAGAATTTTAAGTAACAATATATGATCAAGAGGTAATGATGATGAAAGAGAAAGTGTAGGCTGCTCTGAAGAACTTGGCAAAAACTAAGGCCAGAAGAAATAATGGAATACTAATTGATATACATATTTCAACAAACAGATGCAGCCCTGGAAGTGCTTACCAGGCTGTGCCAAGAAATCCGGACGACAACTACCTAGCCAACTGACTGGGAGAGATCCATATTTAGTCTTACTCCAAAAAAAGGTGACTTGATGGAATGTGGACATTATTGTACAATATTGTTCATATTGCATGCAAGCAAGATCCTGCTGAAGATAATCCAAAAAGGACTGGAATAGTACATCAACAAAGAACTATGAGAAATACAAGCTTTAGAAGAGGTCGTGGCACTAGAGGCATTATTGCCAATGTCAGATGGATCCTAGCAGAAAGCAAAGTGTACCAGAGGAATATCTATTTTGTTGACTATGCAGAGGTATTTTTGACTGTGAGGATCACAACAAATTGTGGCTAACCTTAAGGAGAATGGGAATCCTAGAATATTTGATTGTGCTCATGCAAAACCTATACTTGCACCAAGAAGCAGTTCTCAGAACTGAACACTCAGAAGGAAACATTGCATGGTTCAAAACTAGGAAAGGAATATGTCAGGAATGCATCCTGTATCCATATCTTTTCAATCTACACACAGAACAGATCTGGGCGTTATGAGGAGGAATATGGCATCAGGATTGGAGAAAGACTCATCAACAAACTATGTTATGCAGGTGATACGACCTTGCTTGCTGAAACTGAGGAGGCCCTGAAGCATTTGCTACAGAAGGTCAAGGACTATAGTCTTCAATATAGATTGAAGCTCAGCATCAAGAAGACAAGGTTCTCACCACTGGGCCAATTGGCAGCACCATGATAGAGGGAGAAGAGACTCAGATTGTTAACAGTATTAGTCTAGAGACTAAGGTGTGCCTGATCCAGACCATTGTCTTTGCAATTACTTGTTATGCTTCAGACAATGGCTAAGGATGACAGAAGAATTGATGCCTTTGAGTTGTGCTGCTGGAGAAGAGTCTTGATCATACTATGGACTGCCAAGAACACAAATAAGTCTGTCTTGGAGAGGGTAAAACCAAGTTTTTCCTTGGAGGCTAGCATTTTGAAGCTCTCTCTCACAGACTTTGGGTACTGGGCCAGGAGGCCCTTGGAGAAGGACATTGTGCTTGGAAGGATGGAGGGACAATGCAGGAGAGAAGACTCCAGATGAGATGGATTGATACAGTTTAACGGGGGTAATGAGGGTAGGTGTATTGGAGTCAGTGAAAATGGCTAAGGACAGGGCAGGCTTTAGAGCTGTTGTATATAGGGTTGCTATGAATCGAAGGAGACTTGAGAGTGTATCAGTTGTATATTCTCTTTAGACCTATTTAATCTGTATGCTGAGCCAAAGAAGAAGAAATAGATGATTTCTACCAACTTTTACAGTAGGAGATAGGTCAAACATGCAATCAAATGCATTGATAATAATGGGTGACTAGAATGCAAAAGTTGGGAACAGAGAAGAAGAATCAGTAGCTGGAAAACATGGATTTGGTGACAGAAATGAAGCTGGAGATAGAATGATTGAATTTTGTACAATGACTTATTCATTGCAAATATGTTTTATAAGAAACATAAACGCAGGTTATACACATGGATTTCACCTGATGGTATGCATAGGAATCAAATCGATTACATCTGTGGAAAAAAACGCTCGAGAAGCTCAATA